ATTGATAATTTAATCTTTCTATATTTATTGAATTAAAATTTTCTATATAAGACTTTTTCAATTCTTAATAATAAAGCTAAATTTAAACTGAAAAAACTTGATTCAAAAAAATAGTAATTAACATTGAATATTTATTATTAATATTTTTTTTTTTAATATTTAATCTAAGTAAAAGTATTAAACTTTTTACTAGTTTTTTATCAAAAACATAAAATGTTTTATCTTTTTATCATAAGTCAGAAACCCTTCTATATATTGTATTTTTTTTAAAAAAAAGAAAACTAATTTATTATTAATTTTTAAATAAAAATAATATAATTCTTAAAAACTTTGAAATGTTTTTTTGAAACTTATAAGTTAATTTGATTATTTAATATATATTTTTAAGATATAATATAACTTTAAATTAAAAAATGTTTGATGAAAAATGCTTTAAATTTTACTTTTTATTATAATAAAGAAGTTAAAAATGCTGATGAAGATTTGTCTTTTTGTAGAAATATCTAATTAAAATTTAAAAACTTAAATACTATAAAAACAATCTAACAAATATCATAGAAATTATATATTTACTTAATTAATTTTTTTTAATTATAAGAATATTTTATTTTTATTTATTTTAATTTAATTTTTAAAATATTTAAAATTTTAATTTTATTAAATTTTTTATATTAATTAAAAAAAAATCTACAATTTTATAATAAAAAAATAAAAAAAATATTAATTTTAATGCTTGAAAATATAAATAATAAATAATTTATATTAAATATAATTAATAAATTAAATTATTAATTTAATTATTTTACAATACATTAAATAATATTATTTTTATTAAATATAAATTAATAATAATTGACTTTTATTTTTTTTTATTTTATAAAAACTTAAAAACATTTTTCAAAATATAATGATTTTTTAATATTTTTTTTAAATTTTTATAAAAACTAATAAATTTTTCATATTTAAATTGATATTATTTTATAATTTTCATTTTGTTAATAATATATATTTTTTTTTTAAACAATTATTTTTTAATAAAATTTTAATCTATTTTTAAAAATTTTGTTAGAAATAAAATTTTAATATATTTTACATAAAAAACTAATTTTACTATTATATCTCTGACCTCTATCCTTATAAACATTACCTTTATATATACTTTATTAATTCTAATTAAGAATATATTTTTTTATAATTATATTTTCTTTTTATTTATATAAATAAATATTTTATAAATATTATATAAATATATACATATTATTCTTTTTAAAAAACCTTTTTATTTAATTATAATAGATCTATATTATCTTATAATTATTATTCTATTTTTTTTAAAAAAACTAATCTAATTAAAAAAACTAAAGAAATAAATCAAAAGTTTCTTATTTTCTTCTTATAATCTCATTAATTACAAATATTTTTTCAATATAATTGAATTATTTATATTAAATTTAAAATTATTTTATTATTATTTTTTAACTTTTTTTTAAATTAAATTAATAATTTCATCTTCTATAAGATTTTTTTAATTAAAATTATTTTATTAATAATTTGAAAAAAATTTCTTATATTATAATCTTTTTTATATAATTTTTAATTTTATTTACTTAATATTTTAATTTATTATTATTAATATTATTATTATTTAATGAAAAAATTCTAGTCTTGATCTAATAATTTTATATAGTTTTTTTGATGATGATTATTTTAAGTTTTTGTAATATAATTAATAGCTTCTTTAATATTTATTTTATTTATTATAAAATAAAAATTAATATTAATTAATATTTTTATTTTATAAATAAATTAACTAATAAATAATACAAATTTTACATAATTAATTTCAAAATCAAATTGACAAATTATATATTTATAAAATTCTTACTTATAATTTACTTTAAATTATAAATTATTTTTATATTTATAGATAAAGATAGCTATAATATTTGGTAAAAGATATACTAATTTGATATTAATAAGTTTGATATATATATATATTTTTTATTTTGTTTTTATTATAATTTTAACTTGATTTTTGTTTATTATCAGATTCATTTTTATTTTGTTCTTTTTTTTATTATACAAAAATAATAATCAAATTTATTCAATTATTCAATAAAAATATCAGATTTCATTTATATTTTAGAATTAGCTTTATAATTACTAATGATACTAATTTATTAAAAATTTCAAAATATTATGAATTTAATAATTTTAATAATAAAGAATAAAATTTTATGAATTTTCAAAATATTTACATAAAAAAGAATTAAATTTTTATTTTTATTCTATAAATAAAATAAATTAAAATTAAACTTATAATAAATAATTAAATAATATATTAATAAATTAATTAAAATAAATTTGAAATTTAATTTTATAAATTCACTTTTTTATATCCTGCTATTATACTTATATTAGAATTTAATTAGATTTATATAAAAAAAAATTCAGTTTCATCTACATTATAAATATTTTCTTTATTATATTTATTTAATAATATTTATAATTTTAGTTTTTTTTTATAAAAGTATTTCAAGTAATATATTATTTGTTTTTTAGAAAAATTAATTTTTAAGTTTATTTTTTATTTTAAATTTATAAATCCATTTATTATCATATTTTACTAGATTTTTAATATTTCATTACTTTGTAAACTTTAAGTTTTTTATATAATATTATATTAATAGAATTTCAGTTGCTATAGCTTGTGAGAATTAAATTTGTATTCTTTATCAAGTATTAAAAATTAAATTGAATGTTATTTAAAATTTAAGTATTTTCTTAAATATTTAATTGCTTTTCCTATTTTTATCATATTTTATTAATAGATATTTTATTAATATTTAAATAACTATATTTTGTATTAAAATAATATAATATTTACTTGGATTATATAAGAATTACTTAATATATAACTACAGAATAATTTTTATATATATACTGATCAAAGTTTTATTTTTTTTATAAAATTTGTAGAACATATTAATAATATAGTTAAAATTTACAAAAAATGTATTTATCACTTATTTTCATTTATTTAATAGAATTAATTATTATATGATATAATTATATAAAAGAAAAATCTCTTAAAAAATTTTTATTATTAACTTTTATTTTAGAGTGATAGTTATTATAATATATTTGTGACTATATTATTTATATTTAAAATATGAAATTGCAAGTATTAATATATTTAAAGAAAAGGTATGACTATATAAAAGGTGATTATATAGATAGATGATTATATTTAATATTTTACATCTTTAAAATTTTCAAAAATTTTATAAAAGATATTTTCTAATTATAATAAATTATACAGTATATAAATAAAATTAATTATTATTTATTTTGAATTTTAAAATAGTTAATAATATAAAAAATTGAAATATAATAAAAAAATTTAAATGTTTTTTAAATTATAAAAGTATATAATATAATATATAATAAAAATATTATATTAGGATATTAGGATATAAAAATATAAAAATTAAATAATAATTAAATAAAAAAAAAGGTAATTACTAAAATTTTTAAGGATTAAAACTTTTAATAAATTAATTTTATATAATATTATGACTTAATTATGACTTATTATTAACTTTTAGTTTGCCTATATCTATCACGTGTTCAAATCTTTACCTAAAACACTTAGAAAGATGATTTTCACTTTGCTGCATAAGGATTGAATTCACAAAAATTCACATGTTAATCTATAAACAAAATAATTTGTGACGATCTTAAAAATTCGGCGAGTAAACTAAACGGGTTCTGGCCTAGTATTTTGTACCATTCTTGTTTAAGTATTAACTATGGCATGTTTCTAAAAATTTGTTAAATTTTTTTTTCAGAAAGAAAATTGTCAATTACTTTGGGAAATTTTGATGTAATATTTGATAATAATCTTGCTCACATAGAGAGTTCTAGGCTCATCAAAAAAATAGGCTGAATTTTTTTATCAATGCAGTTAAAGATCAGGAAAAATTCCGATAAAATATAACTTATCCTGAAACCTGCGAATCATAAAACTTACCATGTTCGAAAGCTCAAACCGAGAATTTTAATTGGTCAAATATTTTTTTAAACATTGTTTTCATGGCGTTCCTCTTGGCATAAAACACAATCGAATCTTAAAGATCTTAATATCATAAAATTCATCTGCTTTATTTTCATTTGATGCGCAGAAATAAAATGGTGAAATATTCCACACTCGGTCAATCTCTCATTTGAATGGCTGAAATTTTCTCACCATAAAGATCCCCGATCTATTGGTGCAAAATGTAACAATCTAAATGGTCCTATAAAAATTATTGAAAAATTGTCATCATCAAATTCAATTACGCAATTTTAAACGGTAACAATCGGATAATAAATCACATGATTTGTACGATTTGTATCCGCAGCATCCGCACATGAAACAAGTTGAGAAACCAGGCTAAACAACTTATACAACCAAACCTTAAAATGACGCGAACTATATGCTTTATTATAATAAAAGAAGTAAGATATTTAATTCGCGCAAATAGAAAAAAAAAAAAAGCGGAAATAGTTAGCTATTAAACTCAGCCAAATAAATCTTTATTATGTTTACTATATAAACCTGATCTACTTATCCATCGCATCCCGGATGCATTACTAATTGAAGAGTTTCTTCCAAGGTTTATTCTATGATTGATTCACCACATGGATTTATCGGTCATTATCGGAGTTGAATTTCATTCTCCGGATTCTCCGGTTAGGGAATTCTTTTTTTGTTTATGGTAAATCGGTTTCAAAATAATAGGAAACAAAATAATAACAAACTGCATATATGACAAACAATTAAATTTACACAATTACTCAAATACTACGTAAATTTATAATACTGATTTACAGATCATTAGATTATAATGAAAAATGTATAAATATTCGACCTGTTCCCTAGAATCTCTTCGAGTTTTTTTTTAAAATATAAAAAGAAATAATAAGAAAATTACTCTAATATAAAATTGTCAGACCCAATGGATTATTCTACGATTTTACTTGCTTCTATTCAGGTTCAGAATTCGCTTCCTTCTGATTTTGATTTTGATTTTGATTTTATTTTATTTTTTTTTTTTTTGATCCATTTCAATCTTCTAAACGATTCATTTATTAAAATAGTCAAGCGCACAAGTTATTCTCGTATGTATTACCGGATACATAGCAGCAAAACTTGGGATAATAAATTCTTCATTACAAAAGGTGTGTTTTTATCCAATTCTATGAAATCGCAAAACATTGTTTCTCCCACTAAACATAACAATCATTGTTCGTAGGGCCTTTCCGGTCTGATAATAAAGGTTCTCATGCCATGCCTATTATTTTCAAGTATTGCATCAGACATCGACTTGGAAACTTTGATAAAATTATGGCCTATTCCCACTTTATATGTGGTATTTTCCATACTAAGTGGATCTCTTGGTGTGCTCGGCGGAAAAGTATTAAATCTAACACCGGCAAAGACAAAATTTGTAATGACTGGCATAATCTTCAATAACGTAACGAGTTTATCGTTGGGTTTATTACAAGGTATTCAAAATACTAGCGCAATTAGAATCTCAACCAAGGGTGAAGATGATGATACAAAAGATGCCGTTTCGCGTGGTATATCTTACATATTGCTTTCTACGCTCTTGGGGAACTTATCACGGTTTGTACAAGATGTCGATCTTTTTTTTTTTTTTAAAAAAAAAATTAATTCATATATTTTAAAATAGGTGGAGCTTAGGAACATACTTGTTAAAGAAAGAATCAAACAGGGATTCTGATGAGGAAGTTGATACAAGTTCGGATTTTGAACGGTCGATGTCACAACCTTTGCCAACTTATCACGATGATGAGGAACAATTTACAACCACGGAACGCACCCCTCTAATTTTCAAAAGGATTGAAACAGAGATTGCCCCAGCATGGAAAAGTTTATTCAATTGCGTTCGCAGCATATATAATTCAATTATTGAGATCATGAATCCTCCTTTATACGCGGCTATTATTGCATTATTCGTTGGGACTATTCCGTTTTTAAAAGGAATTTTCTTTGGCGATAATTCACCATTGTATGGTACAGTTACGCGTACCATGGAAACTTTAGGAGACATATCTGTGCCTTTAAACCTTCTCACACTTGGAGCTCAATTAAAGAATCTTCCGCGTGCTAAAGGACAAGAAATGCTTCCGGCGATATCATGGGTCATGATGTGTCGTTTCGTAATTATGCCAATCATAGGGGTGACCGTTGTAATAATCACAAAGGATTATTACCTTAACGACCCTATGCTCTGGTTTGTATTGATGTTGCTCGCGAGTGGACCACCTGCTGTCAATTGCATGAATTTATCACAATTAACTGGGTCATTCCAAGAGGAGATGGTTGCCTTGTTATTTTATTCATATGCTGCCGTTGCACCTTTAATAGCTTTGCTTATTATGGCAATGTTGACCATTATAGGCAAGGCTGCTCCAAAGTAATCCATACTAATATTAATTAAAATAATAAGATAAATATATATTTTTTTTTTGTATTAGTAATCCAATGTTAAATAAATAATAATAGATTAAGTAGATAATAATTAGTTTGGTACTTAATAATAGTCTTCTTTACATCATGAACAAACAAAAAGAAATAGATCTGCATCACAAATTTCCTATTGAAAAATGAATAATAAAACCTAATATAACTTCTTATCGAATATATCAATCACAAAGAGATAAGCACGAGGGGCTTTGAATACACAATGTTTTGTGGGTAATTATTTTAAAATAACCGAGATAACATTGATTGACATAAGCAATAAATTTGCACAGCATGAATTTAAAATGTGGTGAGCATAGCCGAAGATTCCGACAATTATGAGGACTTTTTGTGTAATAATCCTTTGATCCGACACGAATCGTTTTTTAATTTCCTGATATGTTGATTTGCGTTTCGAATAAAACATATTTTCAGAACGTATTATGATCTAACCATTTTATGTCCAAAGATACACACAATGTATAAAAAGTGAATGGAAAGGGAAGATCCTAATTTGTACTTATTTGGTTATATGATGTCTTAAAGAAGTAAATTTATAATTTGGGTTAATTTGGTAACAATAATAATTCACCTTTATCGATAGTAGCAGAAATGGCGCATAGCTATGACCACATACCTTTTCAAAAGTGAAATCAAATTTAGGCTGATTTAGAGTCAATATAATTCCATAAACTAATGCATTCCTATCAGTAAATTTATTTTTTTTTTTTTATGGCATATCTCGAGATACACGTTCGGGCAATTTCGCTTAAACATGCATCAGAAAGTCAATCCTCCTTAATGCGAAGGATACTGGTAACCTTATATTTGTGATTCTTATCTGAAGTTTTTAATAGCAAGTCAACGCTAGCCTTGAGCAGTACCTTTTTTTTTTTATCGACAGGATGTTGGGAGTATCAATGCTACTTTTAAAATGGTGCAGATTTTCAAAGATCGTCTTCGTTCGAAAGATTCGACCAATTTCATATGATTTATATTATGATATTTGATTATACTCCCTTTCCGTATGGAACCCCCCTAGGTCAAGGGACAAAGTCACCTAGAGATCATAAAATTTTTTCATTCGTGTTCTGAAAATGACTAATATTATTGAAATATAACTTGGCTTTAATCGAGTGATATTCATACTCCAATTAATTAACAATCACTTCGTTTTTCAATATCAATTTTTGGTGTTTATTTTTTTTTTTTTTTACAATTTTTTAGATAAATATTAATACTATTTTTTACAATTTTAATCAAAACTTAACATTATAAATATTCATAAATATTAATGCTACTTATACATATATAGAATTCTCTAGTTTAGGTTTAATACTTTATTATATAAATTTTACTTATAATTTTTGGTGAGTCAGATGTCTAATGCTGGCCAAACCTTCTTAAAGCATTATAAATCGGCCTAAAATAACCCCATAATTTAGGTCAGTCGGCATCTGACGCAAATCGTCATCTGACGTACAACATACATATATATATATAAAATATCAAGAATGTTTTTAAGAGAATTTTTGTCTAATAATTTTGGATCATTCATTCTTAAAAATATCACTAAATATTAAATTCATTATAATTAGTATTTAATATAATAGAATAATTATTATTATAAATTATATAAAAAAACAATAAAATAAAGTAATAATTATATGTATTTTTGATTTTTAATATTTATAAAGAGATTGGATATATAATACTATTATGATGCAGTAAATCTATACTTAACAATATAAATCTAACACTTAAAATCTTTCAACTCTTTAAAAAAATAAAAGTTAGAAAAAATAAACTAGTAATTTTATACTTTGAAATTACTAGTCAGTTTTTCAAAATAAGTTCTATATAAACAATATTTGTCTTAAATTTAAAATATATATTATTGATTAAAATTTATAATAATTCAAGCTGATATTATAGTAATTAATTTTAATGTCAACTTGAATTATTATAATTTTAAAACAATACACAAAAAAATGATTATTATCTTATTTTTCATTGATTAATTACTAATCATGTGATTTAAAATCCACAAAAAATTTTGAAATATAGTTGAATTAAAATTTTCAGCATCATATCATTAATATTATTTTATTATTTTTTAATAAAA